CAACCATCCCAAATCAAAAAAAAGGAAGGGTTAGTTGCTGGTGTGTTTGCGGCGGCGCGTTCAGGTTCGGAGCGGCGGTAGTCGTTGGAATAAAGTCGGGGTTATCTCTGCGTGAAACTGGCAGTGGTGGTTGATTAGTAGTTGTTGCTGTTAACACATTGCTGGCGGTAGTAATAGTCGTAGTCATAGTTGGTTGCTTGAACTCCTGCGCTATCTGGCTTGGCGGTTGAACGACGGTTGATTGGTTGGTTGATTTGGGTTGGTTGAACCGAAACGATTAGTTATTCGGTGGTTAGTAGTGTAGTCACTCAGCTAGACCAGACCTGGTAGGGCTGGGCGGTTCCTCACCGCCCAAACGAGGACACGGTTTTCTTTCCGTGCGCTGGCTCCCTGCCAGATGGTAGAGGCCACTTTTGCTTTTGGAAGGCTAGAGCGGTTTACCACAAAATCGGCTTTGACATCATCTCCGCCCCTCTTACCAGGCGGGCCAGGTTAGCTATTCCTGGCCCGATGCTTTAATCGCTTGTGCTTTTTCTTCTTCGTCAACTTCCCTGATTATCTGGCCCAGGTCTCCTTCTGGCTTCAAGAACAGAGGTATTACTTGCCCCTCTGGTAACAGCATCACTACTGCCCGGTACGGTTGTCCACTCTCTTCATAGCGGGCATTTAACTTGTTGGCAATCCGCTCGGCTTGCGCGGCGCTAAGTCCCTTCTCGTCTTGGGTCTGGATAGCAAGCTTGTATTCATTGGTCAACAGGTAGTAGTCGAAAATAAAAGCTCGCATATTACTTTGTTCCACTTTACGCCTTTCCGTTTCTGCTTACCAAGAAATAATCGCTACTCCTACATAGTACACTACTAACGTTAATAGGACAATGGCCTATAGGTACTATTAACGTTAGTAGTGTAAAATTACAAACAATGCTTGCGCCAAATTGCCTCGGTTGGAATAGGTGACTACTCGTTGAGTAAAGTAACCAGGTGTTGCAGTTCGTCTAAGATGGCAGACCCAGCACTCCATACTCCGGCATCGCGCAAGTGAATAGCACTTTCTATTAGTTGTAAGGCGCGGGCCTTTGCACCGGGCCAATGCACGGTGGCGCTCTGGCTGTAGCCTGCTCTCACCCACAGTTCCCTACTACCATGTTTGAAGAAAGTTCCGTCCTCGTTTGCTATTACATTGCCTCGGTATGGAATATTCACCCCGTCCCAATCGAGGGCGACAATTATGCAAGCCGAGCCTGGGGTATAGGTCTTACCGACCTTTTTTAATAGGCTGGGGTGAAAAGCCCCTTGATTGCCTTCAGCCCAGCCAACGACGCGAGGCTGGCTTTTATCATTTGGATAGCGGTAATCACTTTCGTGCAAAAACTTCTCTATGACCGGCGCATCCAATAGCACCTCGTATTGCTCAAAATGCTGGCGCTTGCGCTGCACTACTCCGTTCCCAACCGGGGTTTCCACCACATCGCCGCGATTAAAGGTATTTGCCATTTTGCTTGCCTCTTTCTATCTGTCTTACTCATTTGGAAGCCGGGTTGGGATTTGGTATAGTGCTACGGTTCGAGGCAAGCCCCGGCCCGTCGCCAGCCTTACTTGCGCCGAGGGGACACCGAACGCCGTACAGGTTCCCCCTGACTGACGAGCCTGGGTCTGACCCGAACCGCAACACACTGAGCGTGTAATACTAATCAATCCACTTATCTACTACCGAACCTACCGAACTATCTTAAAGGTAACTGGTCGGGATTTTGTTATTACACCTGGCGCAGCTACGTTCCGCATAGTTAATTGCACAGCCCGTTACCTTTGGGTGGCCCTGATTATCGCCGCCGCTACCGCCGTCACTCGTTGCGTTCGAGTTCGAGTTTGAGTTGGCGCAAGCGGGGCAAATCGTCTGAGCGTTGCTGGTGATGTAGACCAACGGTTGACCAAATCTACTTGAAACGGCGGGATAGCGCCCAGCCTGGTTATGTTGGGCAGCCATAATATAGCGGTCTGGAATATTATGGTGCGGCGGCGATTGTGTCATTTAATTTTGCCCTCGTTATTAACGTTAATAGTGCATAGTAATATAGGTCAGGCCCGCTTTAGAAAATCCTGCATGGCCTTAATTTCGTTATGGTCAATGTCCACAAACTCATGCTCATGGTCATCAAAGGTAGGCTTGGCCCGGTCAACCATCGCTTCAACCAGGGCGTACCCGTCCCTTAAATAGTAGGCTCTGTCCTCATCGAAGCGCAGTCCGTTAAACCACTCTTTCAATTCGGCTGGGCTGATTTTGATTTCGACTTCACGGTCACAACACTCACCACTGCAACCCGTTACGCCAACGGTCAGTTCAAAAAATTCGGGTAACGGCTCAAGTTGAGCCGGAATGTTCGCGGCGGTGATGGTGGCACTACCAGTAGCGCTGGCGGCATATTCCACCAGGTAGGCAAACGCTTTGGGTTGCCAGACCTGAGCGTAATAAGCTACATACTTCTCGTACCCGCCGACCTCACTATGGTTGCAGGGCTGGTAATCTAACTCTTTGACTTCTTTTAACCAGGCGTTTGCCCGGTAAACCCAGCTGGACAAGTATTCCTCTATGTGCTGCTGGGCCAGTGACACAAAACTCTGATTGCGAGAAGCTCTGGGAGCCGGGAACTCCTGTAGTTCTGGGTACTTCACTATCAAAGCTAAAGCTCCGCCCTCAGTAGCTTCGATAAAATGCTTGACCACCTTCATGCTACCAACTGAAGCGTTAATCAAATCCAATTTGTGCGCTTGGTTGCAGTAGGCGACGAGTGCGCTGGTAAGTTCGGTAATTGCGGGGGCTTTGGCTTTCTTGCTCGACATAGTTAGTTAATCCTTTCCTTATATAGCTCTTACTTTCCATAGCAAATCTTCCCGACCCATAGCAATTAAATCCGCCACTAAACTTTCTCTCACACCAGGTCGAACGATATGCGTTTCAGCACTTTGGGTATCCAGGGTGCGAGAGCCATACTTTAAAATCCGACCATCTGGCCCCGCCAGCACTTCGGCTTTGTAGGGGATGTTTGCACCTCGATTTTCCAAAGCCACGATAGTGTAGGCCGCGCCGATTCGCTCCTGGGTGACAGTGAGGTACTCTTGGTTTAGACAGGCGGTGCTACAGTTGGCCCAGCCGCCCTCAACGTCGTGCAAAGGTCGGTTGGTATCGAAGTCAAGGCTAATATAGTAGTTCTTACCATTTCGGTTAAATACCTCACCCGGCCCCAGGTGAGTAAGCACTCGCGTGCCTTTTTTAATAGACTTCATCTTACTTACCTTGCTCCTTCTTGCTTTGGTAGTAGTTAGCTAAGATTTATTCTATACTACTAACATTAGTTATACAATAGCCAATATGTACTATTAACGTCAGTTGTATAATTGAGTGTGATAGGCTAAGATATAGGTAGGCTAGAAGTAATTACCCAAGTGACTACTCCCCTGGCCTGACCAGGCCAATAGAAAAACCAAGAAACCAAGCAAGAAAGAGTAGTATGAGATGCCACAACCGTCAGAATTAGCCAAATCACAATTCAAATATGCCGAACAAGGGAGTAGGCTCAGGCAGTTAAGGCAGCGTCAAAAGATGAGCCAGAGCGAACTCTCGCGTGCTGCCCAGATTTCGATGTCCACCCTGGTCAAGCTCGAAAGCGGGGAGCGTGTTCCAGGCACGGAAGTAAAAGAAAGATTGGCGGCGGTGTTAGAAGCTGCCGGGGCCGGAGCCAGCGCCGAAGTGATGGCGATTGATTGGCCTACCCCGTATGCTGCCCAGAGTTATAATCACCGCCAGCCGGTGAACGCTGCGCCAGGCAGCCCCGGCGATAGATTAAAGGAACTTCGGCTGGCACAGGGGGTAAAGCAAGCCGAGATTGCGCTAAGGTTGGGGATGACCGAGCAGAAGTATGGTCGGCTCGAACGGGGCTACTCCAAGCAAATTAGTCGGACGGTATTGGAGAAACTCACTACTATTTTAGGCGAAGGAGTTAAGGAACTTGGCTTTTCTATTCTTCGTTAGCCTCAGCCTTACGCTCCTGACTCCTTGCCAAATTAGCCCGATAAATTTGCTCAATCATCGCTTGGGTTGCTTCGTCCGGCTCCTGAGTTAACTCGGCGAAAAGAGCTTGTGGCAAAAGAATAAGATTGGTAAAATCTCGCCAGTCTTCCCCCTCGTACAGAAAATCAGCATGGTCAGCGATGTTAAATACTCCATGCGGTATTCGCTGCGCCTCGACCTCAGCCTGCGCGGTTTCAACCTCTTTTTCTTTGGTTCTGTCCCTGAGCCAGCGCCGCGCTTTGTAATCAATTAGCCAGCCTTCACCCAGGTCGAGCCAGACGTGCCAGCTTATAACCTGGCCGGTAGCCTGGTCGGTCAGATGACCGCACATCGGTACAAATTCCACCTGGGGGAAGTGCCGGGTAAGTAAAGTGGCTACTACTCGGCTCATCCCATCGCAGTCCAGCCCCTCAGTTCTTTGATTGAGATAAGGCTTTATTACCGCCTCAAGCTGCGTTTTCAGTTCTAAAGTCAGCATACTATTGTACTTATTTTCTTCGGCTTTAAGCTTTCCAATTTCAATCTTTCAGACCTATTCGGCTGGATCGAGCAGTCCAGTCCAATCCAATCCAGCTGCCAGCCGAATAGGTAATAACAGCATGTAGCCTAGCCGAGTAGCTACAGTAATAGCAGGCTTACCGCAGCCAGGTCAACCTCGCTTGGCAACTGACGTTTCTGGATTAGCTGGGCCAGCTTCATTACTAGCTCTTTAGCCTGTGGGCTAACATCTTCCGGGCTGGTGAAGTTCATATCCACTCCCGGCATGTTTAACATCAAATAAATGAGCCTCAGACAATCTTGGAGACTGGCTTCTCGGCCCAACCAATAGTCCACTCTCAGTTTGGTCGGCATGTGCGTCAAGTGTATCCAGGTGAACCGACCTGATTTGATTGACCGAACGCCAAATAACCCATTCGGCCCGTATAGCTTTACTTTGTATTTGATAGTGCTGCTGTTACCGCTGCTATTATTGCTACCTTCATTTTTACCCTTATCGGCGGTCTTGTCCTTACTATCGCCCACTGCTTCGGCTTCAGTTGAGGCTACGGTTACGGCTTCGGGCTGAGTGAGAGTGCTAGTGGTGGCGATAGTGTTATTGTTGCCGCCATTAGCTCGCTCAAGCTCAAGCCAGCCCCATTTGAACTTCATTTCGGCTACTTTAGCGTCCAACTGAGTGTAAAAGGCGTTGAGTTCGGCCTGCCGCTTCTCGCGGGCTTCGCGGGCCACCCGCTCCCGTTTGGCCCTTATCTGAGCGGCGCGTTTGGCGTAAGCATTGCGCCAGTCATAATCGGCCTGGGCAAGTGCGTTCTGACCGGGCTGATATTGCCCGGTTGCGTCCCAATGCAGCCTGATAGAGTTGCGCCAGCCGCTCACCGTAAGGCCATGCGCAAGCTCGTTGCGCCACTTGGGATGCTTCTCCCGGCTGCAGCATGCGGCCCCCTCCGGCG